AGGAAGTTTGGAAAGTGGAACTAAAAAAGACTCTTCTTGAGTTAACTAACTCTTAAAATATCAACTGTGGTCATTTCTGAGCATTCCTTTCCAAGTTTTCTATGTGTATATTTTGGAATGATTGTAATCATAGAGTTTATGTATTTTCTGTGCTGCTGCGAGTTTCGAGATACATTTTATAGTTGTGTTATTCCACTGAGTACCGTAATTTCCTGAAACACCTCTTTTTTATTGGGCATTTGGGTTGCTTCCACCACTTTGCTGCTGTAAATAATAATACTGTGATGAACATTTTTGTGCATATAACCTTTTCTCTATTTTGGGTTATTTTCTGACAGTAGCTGTTGAGAATGAGCTGATTGGGTCAATGATTGTGGTGACTGTTGTGATGTACCCCTCTTTAAGCAGTGGGGTGGATGTAGTGTAGTGACTGGATTGGAGGGGGCAGGGGAAGTGGTGGTCTGGGATGACTCCCAAGTTTCTGGTCTGTGTGATGTTGGGTATGGTCGTCACAGACAGGCTGAAGGGGGTGGGTTCCATTTGGGATGTGGGGCCTCCAGGCAGAGAGGGAGGTTCAGCAGACGCTGGGGCTCAGGGACAAGCCAGGGCCTGAGGTCTGGATGGAGGGACTACCAGCATCTTGGTGTGGTCGAAGCTGTGGATGTTGTGAGGATCACTTAGAGGGCGGAGGGAGAAGCAGGGAAGGTGGGTGATAGAAGTCTGGGAGACATTATTTTGTGACAAGCGGAGGAAGGAGAAGCCACTAAGGAGAATAAGGAGTGGTGGGGTGGGAAGTGAAGAGCCAGGGAGATGTGGCCAGTGGGAAGCCAGGGCAGGAGAGAGTTTTTTTTGTTTTGTTTTTTTTCTTATTTGCTATCTATATATCTTCTTTGGTGAAGTGTCTGTTTAGGTCTTCTGCCTACTTTTTTTTTTTTTAACATCTTTATTGGAGTATAATTGCTTTACAGTAGGAGAGAGTTTTAAGGAAGGAGTGCGCGGGCAGCAAACAGGTGGTGACATTCTACTTGAAGATGTTTCAGTGGCACATGCCGAGTGAGCTGTGGGTGCTTAGGAAGGGTGGCAACTGTCAAAAGGTAGGCTGTGTCAAAAGCTTAGCGGTGGAGGAAGAGAGAAGTAGCCAGTCTTACCAGGGCTTATTGGACGGTATATTAGTCTGTGTGGGCTGCCATGACAAAATGCCACGACTGGGTATCGTAAGCAACAGAAATACATTTTCTCACCGTTCTGGACGCTGGAAGTCCAAGATCAAGGTGTCAGCAGGTTTGGTTTCTTTGAGGCCTCTCTCCTTGGCTTGCAGATGGCCACCTTCTCACCGGGCCTTGTATGCACATCCCTCAGTCTGTGTTGGCTGTGTCCCTGTCTTCTCTTTTTATAAGGACACCAGTCATGTTGAATTAGGGCTCACCCTTATGGCCTCATTTTAACTTAATCACCTCTTTAAAGGCCCTGTCTCCAAGTACAGCCCCATTCTGAGGTACTGGGGGTTAGGACTTCAACATATGAATTTGGCGAGGGGGTGACACAGTTCAGCTCCTAACAGATGGATTCTAGGCCTGATGACACACTTATCCTTTCTCCTTCCTCCGTTCCTCCCCCCAAACACACACACACACACACACACTGTTGACCCTCTGCTGCTTCTCATCCTACTCTTGTCTCTTGGCTTTGGTGACCCATGCTCTGGTCTCATCTCCCCCTGGTCCCTTGGTGTCCAGCTTCTGTAGGGTTTGGGCCTTGGCTTTCCTCTCCTGCTAGAATCAAGTTGATTTATTTGTCTTCAACTCCTTCTCAACTATAACTCAGTTTCAGGTAGCAAAGTATTAATTCTCTCAGGTATAAAAAGTTGTGTCAGGTTAACCCTGTAGTAAATTTTATTTGATGATCAGACTAAACCATTTTGTAATCTTGTCCTCGTGGCTGCTTATTTCACACTTTAAAAGAAAAACAAAACAAAACAGTGGGAACATTGATTTAGGTCAAGGTTCAGTCAAAATTGATATTTGAGTTTATCTCATATTTTACAAATTAATATTGTTGTTGTTGTTTTATCCCCTTGAGTTTGGTCTTGGATTCCTTTTTTTCCCAAGAGCGTATCTTGGTTAAAATAAGACTGAGTGGGTAGCTATCCCAGTAGTGCCTGGGGGCAGAATTATTTGGGTAGGTATGGTTATTACTGCCTCTTTTTCCTTCAGATGTGGCTTTTTTTTTTTTTGGAATTAAAACTGTATAGAAGTTATGATTATCCTATTTGATGCTGAGGAGGGAGGCTTTACACGCATGGTGTTGATGAGGGAGTTGGGGTTAAGTTGTGGGTATATGTTATTTAAACTGTGGTTGGTTGCACTGGGGTTTCTGGTGTGCTTGTGTTTACATGGTGTTTCTCTCAATAGTCTATTGAAATATATCAGTGTGATTTCTACGTAAAAGTTCATATTTTTATTGAAAAGGCTGACTATCAGATTTCTAAAAGTGTATAAATTACGGATAGATTTACTGTTTGGCCACCTGAAATAGCACCCAGATTTTGCTGGGCAACCTGGAGAAGAACGTTTATCTCTGTCAACAGTTTTAAAAGAAGTATATAATTTTAAAGTATGAAACTCAAATTTAGTTTTTAATAGTAACTTATGTGTTTATTCTTTCTATCTTTAAGAGGCAGGTTATTGGAATGAGATGTGACCTTGTACTCTTGACTCTGTGTCTGGTTGTGGGTTTGAAGTGTTATTTTTGTGCTTTCTTAAATGACTTAGGCACTTCTGACTATACATTTGGGACAGAATAAATGTGGTAGTTGGATATGGTTTTGAAAAACCAACCAGATTTTTAACCTGGTAATACGATAGTACTATTCATTCTTATAATTGTCTAGAGGCTCATGGCTTTAGAAAACTCTGTGAGCTCTTAGGGACCTCCAGATTTGCTGGATTAGTAGGTGTTCTTTTCCTTTGTCAAATATATCATCTGATGCCCATGACACAGTAAATGCCCAAAGTCAGAGGGCTACCCTGTAGTGTGCTCTTGAGTTTTTGTTCCTACCAGTCTATGCTTATGTGGACTCAACTGTGTTTATTCCCAAGCCTGTTTATGCCAATTGTACTTATTATTATATTTAATATAATGATTTAAAATATACGTGCAAAAAGAATTGTTTCTATGAAAATTCATGTGAATGTTTGTAAACCACCTAATAAGTTTCTAAAAATGATTACAGCTGATTTAGGAGTAACTGAAATAACTAAAGGATTTGGAGGATCATAAAATAAAAGTATTCCCACTAATGTTGTTAGTCATTCAGGATAGGTAGATTAATTTGTGGTTATGTAAAACCTGGGAATCTTAGTGACTCAAACGATAATGCACACTCACACTGGGTGGCCATTGTAGGTCAGGTGGGGGTCTGCCCCATGTTACCCTGGCCCTCACTCCAGCACATAGTCTGATGGAGCTGTGCCCTCTGGAACATTGCTGATCCCTGTGGCAGAGGGAAGGGCGGATGTGAAACCTTTATGGCCATACGCCTGAATTCAGCAATTCAGGGATAGATGGTCTTCCCACAGAGGGATTATCGAGCATTTGTCAGGAGTAGTGCAGTCCACCCCACACTGCGTCCCAGGTGTCTTTACAGCCTCACTCTTCTTTAAAGAAATTAGACTTGGAGGATGAGGCCATGAGGATGTTTTACAAGAGACCACTGGGTACTACAGTCAGTGGACATACACTCAAAAGGCCTCAGCGCTACAGAAAAAGATTGGAAAATATATATTTTTATAGGAGTTATTTAAAATAATAGGTTTAGGTATGTATCGTTTACTTATGACTTCCAACGTTAACTGACCTTTAAAAAAAAACAACCAGCCAAACTGTCAATCATTAGGCATTTGGATGAGAGAGCCTCTACATGAGTCTTAAATCCTCCTCTCTCTCTTGCGCCCTCCATCAAATTAGTTTCCCACCTTTTGTGATATATTTGTCTGTTAGTTCTCTTGCACTTATCCTCATTTCATTTCTATTAGTTCTACCCTCGTTCTTATTCCTGAACTTCTAGATCCGTGCCCCAACTGAATTCTCTACCGCTAGCTTGTACAGTGCATTTATGCAAGTAGAAAAAGGTGTCCTTTAGGGCAAACACAGTCCCTCAGGAGCCTGACTTGATGTCAGTCCCCATATTCCCTCTTGGCTGGCCCATTTTTATGCAGTGCACAAACTGAACAACTGCACAGAGCAATCCTACTCCCTGCTTCTAGTCACTCTCCCAACTAATTCAGACTGTTGCCTGATCAAATAAATCTCCTTAAAATTTTTGTTGTCCCTGTGCCAGCTCAAAAATTTTTGATGACTCCCAATCATCTATAATGGCTGTCCTCAACTTTATTTTCCATCAGACCATCACCAGTGACTGTGGATCACACGTGTTGCCTTCTGGATGCACTGATGTCAGTAATGACAGCAGTGTAGACAGATGAGGCAGGCTGTGTGATGCTTCCCTCTCCTCTCCCACCCATTCCCACCCCCTCAGCCCGCACTCTCAGACTTGCCTCAGCTTACCTTTCCTTCCAGCTTCATGGCCCAGCAGGGCACGACACCAGCTGTCTTCTGCTGCCATTCTGTCTAGACACCATCTTCTGAATATGTCTTGTACCTCTTGCTTTCAAGTTCTTTTCCGCTTAATCACATCCTACTCATCCTCAAAGAGGACCCTCAAGGTCAAGTTTCACCTCTTCAGCCATCCTTCTCTAATCCTCCTAGACCATGATAATAGTTCACCTCTAAACATAGATGGTAGGCTCTATCTTCTTCTTTTTGTGGCGAATCATCTGCCCTAGGTGAGCACTTGTTTTATCAGTTATATTGCTCTTAAGAATTTTTTTCCCCAACTAGCTTGCTAATGACTGGGGAGCAGTTGATGTGTCTCTAATTCTTTCTTCTCCCAGTGCCTATGCATCCTAGGTGCATAGGTCAGAGCAGTAGGCTGTGCCTGGTTAATCATATAATTCAGTTCTGGATGGAAGCTGACGCTGCTTCTGCCTAGCCACAGGATATTGACCTACTTTTCCCTCCTTATCTGTTTGTAAAATATTTGTTGAACGTGGTGTGTTCTCCCGGTCACAATGAATGTTTGTCTCTCCCTTTCATATGTACTAAATGCTAAAGTGCTAGTTAAATCAGTGGAAAAAACAATGGAGAAGAAAAGTTGGTATGTAGTTTTAATTTCTAAACCTTATAATTATAATGTCATTTAAAGAGAACGCTCTGTAGTTTTTATATCTATCTACCTACCTACCTATTGAGAGACATGATTAAGGGTAGAGTGTAAATTTTAAGGCCTTTTGATTTGATGCTTTACAATATAACAATGTGGTATTTTGAAAATCTTTTTTTCATAAATTACTTGTAGAAGGAAATGAACTTTTCTTAATCAGCCATATACAGGGTAGTGCACTATTAAATGTTTATGTCTTACCAAAACTTCCGTTGGGAAAATTTATTGTATGGTTCTATACTTGGTCAATCTGGTTAACGATTGATTTTTGTATAGCTTTACAGGTTAAGTGCGTGCTCTATTCAAGGGAAAAAATATGTGTTTATATGTTGGGGGCATTTGTATATATGTATCCTTATGTAAATATATGAAATAATTGCTGCATCCTACAGAACTTTTGGAAATTAACAACTATTATTAAAATTTAGTTAACATTTATCAATTTAGTAAACATAGATTTTGTTAAACATTTTAATTTGTGACTTAAAAAGGGTTATTTAGTTATGGCATGTCTTGTAAGTTGCTTTGCTGAATTGTGTATTTTTTTAGTTCTTCGTAAATACTTTAGAATGTGTTTAGAGATATGGAAAAATTATGGTGCTTTAAATTCCAAATGAGAAAAACTAGAAAAAAATTAACCGAGAAAATACTTCCAAATTCGAATCTGATTGCTGATTTTTAATCAACTTAGGTGAAGTAACCCACTGCAATTTAGCTATTTTTTCTAAAAATTCTTTTTCAGTGACAAAGTTGTTATGCCTTCTCAATTTACATTATCAGTGTCATTTTGGTAACATCTTAGCTATTTTTGTTTGATCGATTCTGAACTAATAAACATTCATGAAGCCCTAACGTAAATATATAAACATCTCTCTCTTTGATTACGTAGTGTATTAGACTTTATTTTAGTGGATAACTGCTTGAGGAAGCTTCTGAATTTTTATTATTCCAAAAATACTTTTTCTTAACCACAAGCACAAAGGCATTACTGAAGATGTACTGTTGAGTGATGCACATTTTTCTTTTACTGTATAGGTTTCTTTTTTAAAATTTTTATTGGAGTATAGTTGATTTTATATAGGTTTTTAAATGTGTAATTTGAGATCCCTTTTTGCTTTCTTAACTAGATGCATTTGTTAAAAAAGCCAGTGCCATTTTGCAGCTAACCATGTAGTTGTAAACAGAGAGAGAACACATTCACGTGTACCTTGATGCCTTTGCTCATGGTGATGCTGTTGATTTTGTGCATTTCCTTCTGTGCTGTGTATGGTTAGACCCTTAATACATTTTTTTTGTTGGTGAGGTCAGAATAAAGAGAGCTGCTTTCCTTAGATGTCACTGGGAAAGTTTCTTGTGGACTGGCATTTTTGGTTTTTAACATTCTTTGTAACCAGACCCAGGATGCTTGCGCACCCCAAAATGAAGGAAGTCAGTCTTTCCAGAGTTGAGCTTTTTTTGGTTGAATCAGTAATGATGGAAGCTGGGACAGGATCTTAGGAGATGATGTATTCGACCCCTTTGTGGGGAAACTGAGGCTCAGAGTTGGCAGTGTGCCTAGGATCACACTGTGCGCTAGCTGCAGAACTGAGTCTGCAACATGGAACTTGTGGGTTTTTTTCTGGAGCCACTGTGGTGGTCATTCCAACCTCTGGTCTGTGGCAAAATGCAACAGCTGACATTTCCCGGAGAGATAACTTGCTTCCTTACCCCAAAGAGTGCACTAAATTCAATACATTTCCCTCCATTGTCACTGAAAAGAGCCTGAATGACTGAAAGGTGCCTTTTTAAAAGAAGGTAGTTTTGCTCTGGTGTACCCCAGGCTATTTTATGTGAGAGTCTTTGTTCAGCCAGATGTCTTCAAAAATTGATTTATAGGGACCCCCAAACTGATGGCTACAAGAAAGCCTACTTGGGTGGCTCCTAGGTGCAATTCACCGTACTTTGAATTATAAGGGAACATCTTGAGTGCTTGGATGGTCTGATCAAGTATGAAGAGAGCAGAAAGAATCACTGTACAAGCGATGTAAGCAGGGGGAGGGGGCAAGGACAGGAGGACTTGGGTGAGCGTATTAGCATGTGGGACTAGACTGGGACCCTCTGATTAACAAGCCAATTCATTTGGAAGGAAACTTGATTTTCCCCAGGTGACTGTATTCTATTTAATGACCACTGGTCGTATTTGGGATCCGCACACCGGCCAGGAACCAATCAGAGCTGTCAGGTGTGCCAATTACACGTGAGCTGTTTTACGTTCACCTAGGGGTTCCAGGGTGTCAGGTTTGCCAAACTAAACACGTTTTTATTATTGGAATATTTTTTAATCCGCATGAGGGAACAAATTGAGAGGACTGTGGGTTATAATTAGCACATCCCAGTGCAGCTGAGTTTGTGTTTCTGGCTATAACAGTGGTTTAGAGTTTTTGGCTACTTTGTCCCACAGGAACTCATAGCCTTTTCAGACGTTAGCTCATGAGTTCTCGTAACATCCAGTATAGGACAGCATGACCATAGGTTCCCCCTAAAGCCAGGATGGCTTGCCCTACATTATTGACCTTCTAGGATTTTGGCTGGTGAGGGTACCATGCTTGGGGAGGGGGTGGAGAGGGAGGGCTGGGGGTGGCTTTCAGACCCAGTCTTGGAGGTGGGTGTCATTCTCTGAAGTCTCCCTGCCCTTCAGCAGTTGTTCCTGCCATGACTCTGCACAGCTTCCTCCAGGAAGTGACGGTGGGGACAGTGATGTTAGCTGCGTTCCTCCTCCGGGCACTGAACTCCATGGGGTGTCTATTTCAAATGAGGCAGTGCTTGAGGTTATTTGCATGGACACACCTGCCAGAAGACAGCAGGGAAGAGTAGGGGAGCTCTTCAGGATCAGGAGAAATGGGCATTGCGAAGGGAGGGAACTAACATCTGGTGAGAGCCTCTCGGGAGTCAGGCTTTGCTTTCTCGAAAGAGAAAGTGGGGCTTCCTTGGTGGCGCAGTGGTTGAGAGTCCGCCTGCCGATGCAGGGGACACGGGTTCGTGCCCCGGTCTGGGAGAGGCCACAACAGTGAGAGGCCCGCGTACGGCAAAAAAAAAAAAAGAGAAAGTGGAGTGGATGTTGCCATCCCTGAATTTTTAGATCAGAAACTTGAATTCCATAGATGAATTCCCTTGGATTCGAGCTTGGGTCAGTGATTCAAAGCCTGTGCTGTTCCATGTTGGGGTGGATCAAAAGGGAATTCTCAGTCCTGGAAAAGTCTTGCAACTAAACTTGTAGAAAGTTACTCTTTCCCAAGTAAAGCTTCTCTTTAAAAACTGTGGAATATTCTGACCTTTGGTGACTTAGGAATTAGATTGAAGGGTGTGTGTAATATTAATATAGTAAGTGTGAAAGCCTACTGTCAGAACAGATAGGAGAGCTTCCTCACCCTGGCTCTTCCAGAAACCAGATGTGCAACATCTGCTGGGTCCGTTTCTGTCTCTTAAAAGAAGGTTTTGCCTGGGATCCTAAGAAATTTTGCTCACACATCAGAAGAGATAGTTTGTAGTAATCCAAAACCTTCAGTGTTGTCATGGCAGCCAGTTATTTTTGACTCAAAAATCTTTCCAATTAGTCTAGATAATACATTTTTCATTTCCACTGTTAGAAAAAAACTTCTTTTTAACCTGTCACTTTATGAACTGTGAAGTTCTATCTAGATGCTATCTTTCAAATCCTTAATAACTGGAATGTGCCCGGGGTTGAGGGGAGCCGAGCTCCTGGTTGATGGCTTTGGTTGATATGGCTAGCCTTTCTCTACCCAGACAGAAACGAACCTTGCCCCTGACACTGAGTGGTCCTGGCCCGTCTCTGCCTATTCAGAGGAACCCTCTGGGGTGTGAACTCTTAGGTACCCAGAATGTTGCATTAATTGCCTTTCCCACTCACAGAGCTTTTTAAGATTTGAGTCTGACTTTATGGCTTATGGGCTTCTGTATGCTTTTAGCTGTTTATTTTCATTCCCAGTTCAAATCTGTTCCGTTGTATCATTGCCTGATAATTTAATGTCCTTTGTGTTACCCATAGTTTGAACTTAAGACAATAGTTATTGTATGGAAACTGCCCAGTAGTTGGGCCTGTTTTTCCCTAAATCCAAGATAGTAACAAAAGCCCTCCTACTAGCAGTCTATTATATACTCTTAACAAAAAGCTTTAGAGAAAAGTGGGTAAAACCTCAGTATGTAGTGGTTTTTACAGTGGAACACAGGACTGGAAAATCAGATAACTATGTGAAGTAAACGCCACGAATCGATATACCCTGTCTAAGCTTCTCTAAGGAGGTGTGTTGATAGGAGTGAGAATTGGCATCCCCTCTGCCTTTTCGCAAAAGCATGTCACGGCCCACTTTCTCAATCTCTGGGGAGCCCTGCAAAGCACCCCGAGTGGTTCTGTGTGGCCCACTAACCCCTTCTCCTTTGAGAACCATGCTGCTTGAGTAAATTGTCCTAAAGAATGCAGTTTTCATTCCGCTTGCCCTTAGCTTCGTAAATACCGAGAAGGTGTCTCGCCGTCCGGTTTCTAACCCGAGTCTCTCATGATCTTTCCTGTTCTTGGGGAACCATGCAAGGCTGTCTGATGGGAAGGGGAGAGATGATGGAAACAGCCCTGGAAGGAAGAGCGCGCGGTGTCCCTCTCACACGCATCATCTACCCGCTCTGCACCCCAGTGCCCTGTGAGCCAGCCCCCTCGGCCAGGCAGCGGGGTCTTCGCACATGGGGAGCTCAGGCCTTCTCCAGGGGCCGGGGGAGACCAGCAGGCTAACAGCTGTGCTGGAGGAGTAGGGCTTGCTCAGAGCGTGCTGCCTATGGGGTAGCGCTGCTGACACTGGGTGAAGTCGGGGGATTTATTTAAGACAAGCAGCTCAGCTGAACCACTCTCAGGATCTAAAGCAGCTTTTCTGTCTGTCCCAGGTGGT